ACGTACTAGTAAGAGCTAGGTAACCACAGCAGTAGTTGCAGTATTACCTACATAGAACTCTATCAAAATAATAAGAGTTTTGATGTAACTCAGAAAAAGACAAGAAATCAAGGTTGAAGCTAAAATAATCTTTTTCTGTTTTTAGATACCAAAGGTAGCCACACTGGTATTTTAATGTAAGTATATCTCCTGTGCACACAAACTTGCTTTATGCTAGTTAATGCCCTTCATCAACCTGACAAATGTATTCCACAGCACAGGATGTAAAAATTATTCAGAGACTACTGTAACACCTAGGTAGCAGGTTAATCCTTTTACACAGCAAGACTGATTTATCCACTGTGACCACATATCGGTCTGAAATCCAGAATTCAATGAGAGTGATAACAGGATTTAATGTCTTATACTTGGAAGTCAAGGTACAGTAATTGTGTGTTATCAGAGGAAGTGTTATAAGTGAGCTTTACCAGAAGGGTGACAAGATGGACTAGGAAATAGAGCTGAAGAGTGAAAGAAAGCAAGGAAGGAACAAAGGGAATAAGGAAGGAAGGTAACATCAATGACATTTTAATGAAATACCTTGTCCTACTGAGTAGTAAGTAATGGAGGGAATCAGCAGACACCCTCAAGTGAAACCTGGCCTCAGATTTAGGATCTGTAAGGAGCTTTTACAAATCATACAGCCTCTAGAAGTTTTTATTTTCTCCTTTTTAAAATTCCCATGGCAATGCAATCAATGGGAATGACGATGCATAAGCAGCTGAAAAAAGTGTCACTCACTCAAGATTGTGAGAACAAGAAAGGGATGCTCTGTTCACAAAGCAACCAGAGGGGGAGTCAAACCATTGAATCAATAAGAAATGTGTACATGCAAGGATATAATTATATTATAATTAATATATATCAATATAAAAAATTAAAAAAACAGTTATGGCTTTAAAAGGGGTCCATAAAGCAGGGTCTATAACTTCCATAAAATGCTGCTCCAAAATGTTTTGCCAGCCTTTGTGGTTTGCCAGCCTTCACAGGCATAACTTCCATAAAGCCTTAAAAGGGGTCCATAACTTCCATAAAATGCTGAAGTTAAAAAAGCCAGTGGCTTTGGTATATAAAATGTCTCAAGGTCAAGTAGTTCACAGTCCAATTAAGTTATCTGCCAAAAGGTGAAATAACCCTCTTTTTCCAAACTCTCATCTTTCTGGACTACACTGACCACCTAACATGAAGTTGGCCAAAAATGTCCTTCCTGGACAGAAAAGAAAAAAAATAAGCTTGAAAAATTTCACCAAGAAAACATACTGTATAGTTATGATTAAATTAAAGCTTTGCCCCATTTCACAACATCCAAAATGTGAACCATATGTAACACGTTCAAACTGATTATTGGGTAAATGGATGGATCATGATGTTGCTGGTTCCACATAATGTATCACAAAAATACGACTCCTTACATTTTCTTTTTGGGTTGCACAGTTATTGAATATATCACATATATATAAATGTGTTGTCTTTATCATTTAGCAATTCTGTAAAACACTTGGACACATCTAGATTTTCTGAAAAGGATGTAAGCAATTCAGGAACAGAAGTTCCAATGATATTCATGCTCCTAAATTACTGATGCACTTCTGAAAATTTCACCAAGGCTCTGCTTGTTAGGGAGCTCTCAACATGGCTTTCACTAATGTATGTACTTAAGCAGCACTCTAGCACCTGTACCTTCAGGTAAGGGGTGTTTACATGCAAACTCTACAGATGAATGGGCTTTATTCTCTCCCCATAAACATGCAAGGGTAGGTACTGGAAAAGTGAACATGCAGGTGAGTACAAATGTAAGGTTTCATGAGCATATCTGGACACAGGGGTTATAAACCATGCCCAGAAGACAACTTTGCATTCTGCTAACTAAAGGGCCTCTCTGATGGGAAAGAAAGCAGAGTGCTTTTTGTAGGACAGGAAGGAAATGACTTTGTTTTGTCCAAATGTTCACCTTCCCAGGAGTCTTGAAATCTAATTGGCTTTCTTATCTGGACAGAAATGCTGGAAGCACTGACTACCCATCCTACTTATTTCATGTATTCAATGTATATAGTCTCTCTTCTGCCACTCAGCTCCTCCTCCAAAGAAGCTAAGCTGTATACAGATAACAGTATGATTACATTCTAGCTTAACCTGCATTTTAGGTAGTTATCAGCATTGCTCCAAGTATTTATACCATTGTAATCCTAAGTGAAGCAAGACATTCTAATGTTATGTCTGAGGGGATGCATCACAGTGGGAATATGTGAGTGTCTATGGAGAAAAGTAATGAGTCCTTTTCTCTCTCTTCATGTTTCAGTTATCTCTATACCTAGCTCTCCGTGTACAGAAGAGATAGAGCTTTACAAACCTCATCTGAATTTTCCAAGTTAGCACTATCCTTTGTACAACACAAGACAGGCATAAAAATCAAATGCCATATTTATAAGCTAATGATATATCCTAAGTGCTTAGCTATGTGCCATTAGCTATATTTAAGCTTTACAGCTTTCTAAAAGGTGTAACCTGCCCTTTAGAGTCAGTTTCTAGCCTTTTAACCACTTACTCTATAGGAAAATATGCTTAGTATTCCTAAATAAATGGAAAAGAGTCCAAAACGATGACTAGTTTCACATGGGAGAACATTGGCATTGTAAAATTTAAATGAAATATTTATATGTTGCATTTTCTTTCATTAGAAGATCTTATAGCACTAAATGTGAAGCCTCGGGCAATGCTATGGGGAAAAAGGTAAGAATGATTGTCCACATTTTCCAGTTGGAGAAACTGAGGGACAGAAGGGTTAGATGATGTGTTTGAATTTACATAGCAACTATGTGGCAGAGCCAAACAGAGTATATCTCTGAGCACCAGCCTCTACCTTCATTGCCCCTGGCTGCAATGCAATGCTTTCTTGTGAAATTCTACATGGATCTAGAATCCCTTGTTCTATATCAGATCAGAACACAGCCTGGAGGGGAAAGCAACAAAAGCAAGGGAAATTCTAATACTTCAACTTTGCATTGTTATATATTATACCCTAATTTATACAACACTCGGATACAATAGTGTGTGTTAAGGAGCAAATTACTGCCTCAGCTCTGAATTTCCTGCATTGTTTTAAAGAATTTTAGTGCATAACTAATAAAGCATTCGTGCTAATAACTGCTCTATATGCACTTTATAAAGTTTCTGACACAAGAGATGTCAGCAGTAAGCTGTGAAGTTGTCTTACACTTTCATATTTCTTCTCATATTTTATCTCAGGCTGGATCAAGTGCAGTAAATCTTTCCACATAAACTCTGAAGGGACACATTGCTAAATGTATCAGAAGTGTTTCTGGGAGAGGTATACGGTGTACTGTGAGCTCAATCCTGCAAGGTGCTGAGAGCTCCTAGGATTTTGTAGCAAGTCCCCAGCATTTTGCATTATCTGGCCTTTTACTTCTAACTCATTTTATTAAAGGGAATGAATGATTCCAGAAACCAATATTGTAAGAGCCTTTCAACTACACATTCCTGGTTCAAATCATACTCAAATTATTGACAGGTATTATTGCCTGCCAGGAGTTGAAATGTGTTTTATGTACTAAGTCAATAGGTGTCCCTATTGCAAAACTGGATATGGATTATTCTTTGAGCTGTCGCAACACAGAAGTGGATAGATAAACAGGTATGGATACTGGGATAGACTCACACCCCTAACTGATCTTCTGCTAGAATATGGTTGAAATGCACTGGCAGGGAAATATGGGAAAACCTGTTTGGGCAAAGAACTTGCAATTTCTATCAACCATAGTGGGCATCGTTAACACTGTTTTCATTTTAAATATACAGCTGTTTGAAATAGTTAAGAGGCACTGCCTTAACAATAGCATATATGTGCTTTCTATAATGCTGCATTTAATAAATTAAAAAGAGTAAACTTTGGGAGACAAGCTAGGGATATAGAAAAAGTATCCCTAAAAATATCTTCTTGGTGGGAGGCACTAATGAAGTCCTACTAAGTATGACCAAAATCATTCCTTTAATGGACGCAAGAATTTTGGTAATTAATTGCTTCACTGTTTTCTCCCCTTTCTACTCCCACCATCGCCAAAACTACAATATCAAAGCCTTGACAATACCACTGCCAGGCAAAATGTAAAAACAAGGGGATGGGGAGTTCCCAACTACTTGTGCGGTTTGTAGATTATTTAAACAAACCAGAAAGTCTGAGACAGCTGGAAATTTGACAGGAACATTGGTTTTCCAGGGAGAACACTAAAGCCAATTTACAGTTAATTACTGTGATTTGGAATGGCTTTATGAATAAATACCACTCTCAGATTGTCCAGCTAAGGCAGGTAATTGTTTCCTGAGTTGTGTCCATCATGTATTTAAAAAATATTTTTAAGGCCGGTACCTTTCTGTAACCTGAGAAATTATTAAATTGGTTAATTTAATTTATTTTCCTTGAAAATATTAATTTTTGTTAACAAGTAGCTTAGTTGATAATGTTAAGTGTCGGATCTTTCATCAACACAGTTTATTAATCTTCACCATATCAAATTCTCAGAACTACTGGGCTGTTTGAAGCTGCAAAAGTTAGCAGCTGCACAGCAGTTCTGTCATTCCTGGTGGATATCATGGCTCACTAAAATGGGGGAATGGCTGTGAGGACACAGAGAACTGAAAAGAAATCACATTTTGCAAACCCTATGGACATATCAGCCAATGTATGGTCAGACTACCAGTATATGTTAAGATGGTCACAACTGCGGGAGCTACCATGGGACTTCCCCTGTATTTTGGATGCCCTCCTCTATTCAGCTGCAAGACATTCTCTCATTCTTGGTTCCCACATCTAAGTTTAATAATGAGGTTGCAACATCACATACAAACCAAATGTTTTTTTAGAAAAGGGCAAACCAAAGCCTCATCAGCTACTAGGATATTTAATATAGTAAAGACTCCAAGATGCCTGTAGAGAAGTCACTTACCTGAGTCCAGAGCAGGTACTGAGACTAACTGAAGAATCAGGGTATCTTTGCACATTTCCATGGTAGTAGCAGTGACCCTAATTGCAAAAAGGACGAAAAGGTAAAACATTTTAGCTATCATAAATTATGTGCAATGCCCTGGGTTTTTTTTAATAGGTTTCTGAGTCCTATTTATCTTAAAACCCTCTCTGGTTTCAGATACAGCATCCTGAATCCCACTGATAGCATCTTTCTGCCTCCATGAAATATTGAATAACACTCTCAATATTTAATGATAGATTACAAGTCTCCATACCAATACCCAGTGTTCCTAAATTACTAAAGATCAACAGCAGGTTTCAAAATCTATGACTGTGAAAACTATTGTCTCTTTGATTATATTATTTGCAAGCTATTATATGGAACATCTTATAAAATTAAGCAGCAGAACAAATCACCATGACATCAACATTTTACTTCAATGCAAATTGTCTTTAGTAATAAGATGTAGATCTATAGGAAGTAATTAGGCATACTGTGACGTTTAATAAAACCAATCCCAAACCTATGGCTTGAGAAAATGAAAGGTGGGTTGGAAGGGAAGCATTTTATTGAATTACCCAACAGAGTAGTTTCACATTATTAAGAGTAATCAAGAATCAGAGGGTCTTCTTTTCTGAGAAACAACAATCCCATTTCCACGTTGTGGCTGGGTTATTGTATTACTTTAATAAGCTAACTGCTTGCAAAAGGTAATGACAACACAAATTCCTTCACCACACAGATACATATCTCTCTGGAATCAAGGTTAATTTTATTGTTGACTAAAGGTTATATTACTTTCCCAGTTATGTGACTGGCTGGAAAGTCATGATTGTGTCACGTCCAGCATTTTTGTATTCACAACTCCTTTGACTGCCATTTGGAAGCTGAAACACCATTGTAAAAGGTTGCTATCTTATTCGTGCAAAGAGAAGATATCACTCATGTTTAAACCTGACAGTCATCTCACTATGCCTTTTTATTACTCAATTCATTTACATCTAGCTGCATTAATTAACCTTTTCAGTGTCGTTGCATGGTTTTCAATTATGCAGCCTCAAATAGCGCATTTCTAAAGACCACCTTGATTTTGTTACAGAAAGCAATAACCGTGAAAAGACTGGGGCAAACAAGGATAATTCAGATATGAAATTCTGACAAATTTAATTACACCCCAGAAAAATGTTTATTTAGAACATTTGTACTTTGATCATAAGACAATGCTGCTGAATACAAAACAACAGTGGGTAATTGTTGGACAAACATACATGACTTGCTAGAGTAAATAAACTGAAAAAATGTGGTGTTGGTGTTTTTATTATCTTTTCCAAGCTCTTGTAATGTATTAAAGAAAGACAGTTACAAAAAAAGAGAAAAATTCCACATACTGACTCTTCTCTACATGTTTGCTTAACCTACGAATACAAAGGGCATGCAAGTTAGGTATGCACCTAATATTTCTGCTTGATTTTAAAATGATCAGTACAACTGATTCATTCAGTACTTAAGTGGAGAAAAACCTGAGCTCTCATTCAGTGACGCTGAAACAGTCTGGTAATATTAGTGTTTCCGAAAGTGATAACAGTAGTCTGGAATCAAAAAAAGGCAGGAAAAGAGTTTATACCTGTAAACTAGTTTAGAGTTTATACCTGTAAACTAGACAACCCTGTGTGCTAGGTATAAGAACCAAACTATTCGGTGGAATAGGAAAGAGATACTATTAGCTCCTCTGATAGAGACTGCTGCAAAAGTGTAACCACTATTATCAAGGAAAGTATTAGAACAAGGGTCCTGAGTTTTCCCCTTCACACACAACTTGACATTTTATTAACTCTGAACTCCTTGTTTGTACTCAATTTCATAATTTCTTAAAGATCCGCATGCTGCGAGAAAGTAAAGTTCCTTCAAGTTCAATACCTCAAACTGTAAATTTATCAGAGCATATCCTGTGATTGGATTGGTAGAAAATTGATTTCTGGCTCAGTAACTCAGCTGAGCTACAGGATTTTTTCTCCTTGAAAAAAACGCTTTTGCAGTTGCAAACTACTTTAAAAAGTAGAGGATGTCCTAAATACTAATCATTCCTACAGTTTACTTATTGTATTGAAAAACTATGCTTTAGTTCATACCATTAAGTAACAAAGCAGTGGTTAACTTTTGACAATGACATAGCTTTATGGACCTATTAATGCAGAAAGAGTACAATAGTGACATCCACACTGAACAAATTCTCAGACCTAGGTTTCAATATAGCATATTATCCAAAACTTGATTTAGTTTCTACCTACAGGCAGAGCTTGATCGAGTAATCTTAGAGTAGGGACTTGATTTATCCCCTTACAGATAATTTGGCTGCCCTGAATGAAAAAGAAATGTAAAATCAAATCACAGGACTTCACAAAGACTTATTTCTTTTAAACAATACTGCAGTGGCTCTTGATCAAAAATGCATTTGTTGGTCTCCTAAAATGAATTTTTTTAGGTAAGAAACTTAATTATTTGTACTATTTATCTGGGGCTTTCTGCCATTATCAATGTGGTGAAGTTCTGTATCTACTTAAAAGATTTCTTTTAAATGTATTTTTAAAGATTAGTCCTTTCTAAAGTCAGCAATAAACACAGCTAGTTAAGATTGGTTTCCTGCAATGGTTTTTTAATATTACTAGTTTTTAACTATTTTGAAATTTTCCTTCATTTACCAGCCTTTTTCTGTTCAATTTCAGCACATCAGTAACACAGATAATGTTATTTCCCTTTATAAAGTAATGCTGAGAAGTAGCTATTGATATTGTACAGTTTTCCAAAGATAGATTTATAAAATGAACAGTGATTTTTGTCTTGTAGTAATTTGCAACCAGAGATGAGCATCTACCAAAAAAGAGGTGAATGCTTCGTGTTTTAAAAGAGTGACTGCTTTATTTGGCTATAATGTCTGGGTATAATGAAGATACTTTGGTGCCACTGAAATGATGTGCATGATGATAATTCCTTCCATTGGCATCAGTAAGGCTCATTACAGATGACTACATGAAGAATGATGCTTCTGTTGATACAGTAAATAAATAAATAAATAAATAAATAACAAAACTAATGTGCCATAGGAGTTGGGTCTACTCAGTCAGTTACAAGATAAACTTGGTAATTGAAATCACTTGCTGCATTGTTTTTAATTAAGGAGTTCATATTTACTGTCAAAGGACAAAAATGTTAGTGCCTTAAAGCAGTTGTTTATTTATAAAGAACAGTTTAAATTATTTATGGAAAAGAAAAAAAGGCATTTTGTGCTGATTTTAACAAAAAACAGGCCAGCCAATTTTCTTAAACTGTCGTGGAGTCTGATTCAATAAAAACAAAAAACAAAAGACACATCTGGCTTTTGCAGTGCGGTAGGCCAAAGAGAACTTGGAATCCCCTTATGTGAGCTTCTGCACCGCGTAAACCAGCTGGTCAGGGCTGTCTTTTTAACCGAATCAGGGCTTCCCTCCTTATTATGTGCAACAATGGCTGCTTGCAGCCTGTCACAAGGATCTACTGCTTACATTTAGCTATACAGATCTCATAGTTTTTAATGAGAGACATGGTAAAAAAACCTACCTGCCTTCATTTTGAAAATCTCTCCTTAAAAATCCTTGCCTAGGAAAACAGAAATTAACATCTAAAAGGGGAACAGCTGAAAAGGTTATGCAGCTATTTTAAATCATCCTAGATACCTGAAATCCTGGCAGTGTTAATGTGTTTTAATGATGTAGCATTATCTACCCTCCAAAACACAAACCTTACCGTGTAATTGTATGCAAGAACAACATCAGTGCCGTCTTTTAAATAGTGTGTTTCTGTGAAGCTGCCAGCTAAGAGGCCCCTGGAAAAGAAAAGAGCACATCTGCAATAACAAGTTCATATCATGACTTTTATTCTACCATGGCTCCATCAGAGAGAATATAAAAATGAATATGCACAAGCAAGGAAACAGAAAATCCTATAAGGGGTCACAGTTACAAGCAAACAGGAGTGTGCATGAGATAAGGAAAAATATGACTTCAAATATTGAAGGTTTTAGTACATGAAAATGTCTCTGGTTAATTGTAAAAAGTCTTTGATAGCAATAGACTAAAGCTGCCAGATATCCTTTCTTTCAAATGAGGGCTGAAAATAAGCCAAGCATTATATCTTTCAAATAATGTTCACTATATTTCAAATCAAATCTAAAATCTAGACATTTGGAATATAGTTAAAATAATTCAGTGATGGTGAAGAGACTAAAAAAAATTACAAACGTGTTTTGGAAAAAGGTAATTTGGCCCACATTTTATTCATCACTTTACTCTGTACTACACTGCAGGCACATCCACACGTGCATTAATGTGCTATTGCTACTGAGCATTAAGTTTAGTAGCTCTAATATGAGGTACATAGCTCTACATAAATGCGCAGTAGCTGGCGCTAATGCACGGTAGCAATAGTGCACAGTCTTTTTGTGGTGGAAAATGTAGACTAATTCTACTGTGCATTAGCACATCAGCATGTTTTTTGCCATGACATGCTAATGCACAGTAGAATTAGTCTGCTACACATTAAGCGTCTTGTGTAGATGTGCCCTATGTAGATCAACCGATGACTGACACATGTATACTCTTGCAAACATGTGAAATGTGGATTTCACAGATTGGTTTGTTTGCTGGGAGCATGCGAGTAATTTGGGTACCAGACAGACTGAAGAAATGAGATCAGCGGAATTTCATAGGAGTGATTTTCAAGAACTCTCTCTGCTGGTTTAATTATGCTTCTGAAGAACGGCATTGTACGCCCAATTGTCTTCAAAGAGAGTGGAGTTAGGCTAATACCGAATGCTTTTGAACACTGTTCCTCAGAAATAAAAGTGATAGAATAATTCAATCCTCAAATGTCTCTTGTTAGTTATAGGATCTGGCAGTAATAATTAAACTTTTGTTCTTACCTAAACTAAGCAACTGAAACACCTTTTGATTTTGTACAGCAGCTGACTTTAATGAGCTTAGCCTCACTGACCATTGCATTGTAGAACAAGATCAGTATCAGATCTTCTTCAAATATACCCAGATCTACTTTCAAAAAGCTTTTTAGCTGTTCTTACCATCAGAGATTTTCTACAGGTAAGAGTTCAGCTTTAATATTAAATGCTGCTACTGTAACTAGTTAACATACCTCAACATTTTTATTGATACATGTCCGTATGCTCTATAGAAAGGATATATGTTATGTCCTAAGTAAGTAACTTTGCCTTCTAGCTACAATTTAAGAGGGTTTTCCTCTAGCCATCGTGAAATAACAGATCATTTCAGATGAACACAGTGTGATCTCCTTCACCGGAGATGAAACTAGTTTGGCTGGGAGCAAAAGAAACAAAACTTTTCCATTGTTAAAAAGTAGCTTTAAAAGACACTACGGGTACATACAAGCAATGTATTTAGATTGCCTTAACCAAACTCAGGGCAACTGAAATGTGTGCACAAACATTTGCAGGGCTTAGGTCACTTTAAAAATGGCATGCCCAATCTACAGTTTGTTCTTGTTAAATGAGAACTAATTTTAGGATTAGACCTGACCTAAAATGGGGTAACCCAACTTATGAATGCTTGCACACATTCCCAGAACAGTCCTGGGGTTGAGAAAGCCCAGCCCTGGGGCTGTGCTGTTCTTACACCCCTCCACTTGACCCTTGACCAGGTTATTTTTAGTCCCTCAACCAGCACACCCCTGCAGAAGCAGCCCTCCTGGACACACCAACTCCCTCCCCTGAACCTGTCCCTCCTGCAGATCTGCCAGTCTCCTGGACCAACCAGTCCTGGCTCATCCTGAATTTGGCTACGACTTCTGAATCCATTTCTAATACCAGCCCCAGCTCTCTTGGGAGTCAACCTGGACTACACCCACACTTTGGGTGACTAACCTAGGCTAGGCCACCCTTACTCAAGTATGTAACAAATATTATTTTTAACTCAATGAGGATTTTGGAACAGATACTTGAGTGGACACCTAAAGAGTTTTCTAAAAAGTCCAAAGGTATCTATATGTATATGTTTGTAAAAAAATTCCTCTTGAAGAAACCCCAAGACATGGAGAAGCATTACTTCTGAGCACAGACTCTGCTTTAGTGCTATCTTCTGTGAAGTCAAAGTATTGAACTGATTTTTGATTTCTCATCTACAGAGCATTTTTAACAAAGTAAAAAAGAAGACTATATATTTACATTGGTTCTCAGAAGAGGTGTTGAGATCTCAGTGTTGAGTTTTTGACAAACATTTTAGCAAAATATACAAGCTCCATGTGGAAGATACCAAAATTAATGCCAATATAACTTGCAATGAACCAAAGGATTCAATTACTGAATACCTTTGACAGTTCTGAAATGTTGCTTTTTATTCCAAAACTGTTTTTCTCCTTTGTGATGTTACTTTGCATAAACAAATCCATTTCTTTATACTGAAAAATACAGATCACATTATATTTGAATATGTGTTTTCCAAAACTGGTAATGTTTGTTAACGTGCATTTCTTTATGCTGGTAAACACTCAGGGTGGATCCAAGAGGGGTGGGGGGAAAG